CCCCAAGAGGTCCAGGCTGTTATTAGATATCATTTTTTTTATAACCACCCAGAGTAGAAATATCTGGCAAACATCCTCTGGCCTAGGAAAGCCTGTACCGTCTTATGAAAAGTTGGAGATTATTCACAGTCATGGGAGACAGGGAGTGGCTGAATCCTTGAAATTTCTCACAATAATTTAAATATCTCATTTTTGCTGAGTGTTGATCACTGACCAAACTTTCCAGTTGCATGGAGGTTGCCAAATGGACTGATTTGAACTGTATCTCTTTTTATTGTTCCTGTCAGAGAAATGATGAATCTATGAAATAAGGAAACATGATCTTGAGCTCTTTTTGATTGCTGGATGGGCAAGCTGGGGTGATTCTCTGAGTTACTCTAATATGGCCCAAGGGAATTATCTCTGGGTATCCCCCACCTTCCTCTGAGGTCTTTAGTGTCTTACTTTCGGGAGCATCTACAAGAAAACCAAAGTCCCCTCAAGCCTGCAAGGCTTGCCCACACTTGCCTCCGTCTTCATTTCGCATCTCTCTGTGCTGTTGTCTTCTGTCTCACTCACTAAGCACCAGATGCTCTATTTTGTGTCAACATAGTTAAAAAAATCAAATCATCTCATTCTTTAAAAATACTAAGCTCTTTTTTGCCCCTGAAGAACTTGATAATGTGAAATAGGAAGAAACTGTTCAAAAGGAAAGGGGAACTGAGTGGGGTGAGAGGGAAGGGAAAAGAAAAAAAGGAACAAATGGAAACACAGTTTTCATAAAGAATAAGGGGAAGAGGGGCTGAAGGGAGGGGATGGGATTGGGGAAAATAAAGAGGAATCAAGATATACTATGTACAGGTAAAAATTCCCTATGATGCATGTGATCATTATGTATATCTAAGTTGTACTAATAAAATTAATAAATAAAAAAATTAACTTGACCCTGATTTCTTCTCAAAATCCTCTTCACTCCTCTTTCCATAGTTATCTCCTTGACAGCCTCAACATCTCAATTTAAATTTCTTCCCCAAAGAAAGAATCTTAATCTTCTGTGAACTTCTGTGACTCTGTCCCCATTATGGTCTTTTATGGAACTCTAGTTATTGACTTCATAGGGATTTATCACAAATTTCAACAACTCTATTTATTGGTTTTCTCTTTTCTTGACTTCCACACTAGAAAATAATCTCTGATGGGCCCACCTATGTCTTGCTGATCATTGTGTCTCCATCAAATAGCATAGGGCTGAGCAGGTCCTTCATTCTCAATAAGTAACTGTTGGATGAGTGAAGTGGCAGACATCATTTAATGCTCTGAGCTTAGTTTAGACATGTGGCAGCCAAAGAGAGGAAGAGGACAAATCACTCCACATATCTGTAAACCGAGCAGTGGTCTTTAAGGAACCTGGGCCTTGATTGTCCTCATAGATTAAATCAGGTGGACATGGCAAGCTTCCTCATGGTAGAGAGAGGGTTAAAACTAAGGAGAAAAAAAGAAAAGACAAATTAAATTTATTCAAAGCAAAATAGATATTCCTCCTCAAATCTACTTTGTTTCCATGAGGAAAAGGGGGAACAGGAGCAGTGGAGGAGAAGAAAGGACCAAAGTCCAAATGACTACTCTTCAACTTCTTATTTTTTCTTCACTGCACTTCAAAACCTTAACTCAAGGCTACACACAGGGTGTTTCCATCTCCAGAAAATCACCCTCTGCTATTGGAACCTTATCTTCCTCCTGATGACCATGCTTGGATTCCTTGGCTCTTATTTTTCTTTTTGGTAGCCATTTCAGAAGTCATCATTTTTCTTCTATCCCCTAAGTACATTCACTCACAGCTGATCACCCCCCAGTTCAACTTTCCTGTTTTTATACTCAGAGTAGATCTGGAGCTATACAATTCAGTTTGGTGTTATAAGAGAAAAAGAACTTTCCACCCACTAAAATGTTGTTTGCTATATTTTCTGTTGCTTGCAGCCAAATACTTGTCTGAACTTCCTGGACAATTTGATGGTTTTAAATTTATTTTTTATTATTTATTTTTTATTGAGAATTAATACTTGTACATCTTTATGGGGTACATCATGGTAAGTAAAAATTGGAGTAATAAATATTTCCATCTCTTCAAGAATTAATCATTTTTATGTGTTGGGAATCTCATGCTCTTCTAGTCACTTTGAAAAATATCATAGATTGGTTTAACTTATCTTTTCCCTTCTATACTAAAGAAGAACCAGAAATAATTCTTCTGCCTTGTTTCAGTACCTCTTATCACACCTTTTACATTCCTCTTCCCCCTGCCCTTTGCAGTCTCTGGAGATGGACTTACTGGTCTCCAATGGTATTTATTTTTCTTTGTCTGGCTTGCTTAACTTAATAGAATGACCTCCATTTTCATCCAGGTTGCTACAAATGATAGGATTCTTTTCATTTTTATGGCTGAGTAATATTCCATTATAGGAAGTTGCAGGACACAAAATCAGTATATAAGAAAGTGATATTGTAGACCGCAATAACAGAGTTCTGAAAAGGAAATTAAGAAAGCAATCCTATTCACAACACCTATAAAAATTATTTAGGAACAAATTTAACCAAGGAAGTTAAGGTTCTCTGCACTGAAAATTATGAAATATTGATGAAAGACATTATAGAGAACATAAAAAATTAGAAAGATTCTGTGATCATGTATTTGAAGAATCAATACTGTTAAAATGACCATACTACCCAAAGTGATCTATAGATTCAATGCAATTTCCATTTGGTTTTCCATGTTGCTATGCTGTAGCTGCTAATATTTCCACATACATTTTCCATATTTTATAAGACTACTAGATTTGGAAGGGCCCTTGGATACTAACACCAGTTTCCTACTTTTGTATATGGGAAAACTAAAATACACAGAGATAAAGTAGTAGGGGGGATAGTGAGTCAGCGGGGCCTGGAGCCCAGAAGCTTGAAAGTTACTGCAGCATTCCAAGCCATCTTCTTACCTTCTTGACTCAAAATTATAATAAAGGTGGAGGGTGTGAAAAGAGTCCTTTATGTTGCCATTGTGGATGCACACTGAGCGTTCCCATGTGCCTCGAGGCTCTGTGCATCTTGTGGAAAGACAGACCCTGGAAACACGGGCAGCCATCACCACCTGGGACAGTGGGGCGGCCCCAGGCACTTACACTGTGTTTTTCTGTCTGCTTCTCTAAATTATTTTCCTGGAGACAGATTCAGCCCTGTTCAGTGTCCCAAAGCAGCATTCAGAGATGAGCTTGGTGGCCACACATGTACAAGCCCCATGAACACATGCTAATTAAGTACAAGAGGCACATGCAGGGAACATGCAGCTCACCGGCTGCCCATTTCTCTTTGTCTCCCTCTCTTAATCTTGAGCATAGGTCCCATTCAAATGTTCAGGATCTTACATTTCTTTGTACTCATCTATTTTTGTATTTTATGATGAAATAAACAAAATTTCACAACAAGATAAGAGAATAACAATAGTTAACATACTGTGTATTGTTATCTTCCAAGTAGTTACTCAGAGTACAAGACAGCCACAAAAAATTTTCACTTACAAAAAAGAAGCAAACGTATTAGCAAAAACTTTCTTTTCAATGATCTAAAAGAATCTAGTAGTACAAATGAAACAAATTACCATATATACTAAAATGTTTTTGAAACAATGGAATGTCTTACTTTTCTTACTTCTGTTTTTGTCTGTGTTGCATCTTAGCCCCATCCATGTCTGTGAACACTGAAGATCTTACTAGTTCTCTTTTTATAAATCTCAGCACCAGATCAAGCCATTGCTAGTACTTTATCCTCTGTGGGGAAGGTGCTTCCTCCGGTTCCTCCTTTGGCTGCTGCTGTTGACATTCCCTTCTGAACATGAGCATCAACACCCCAGAAGAGACTTGCTCATCATGTTTTATGCCTTGTCACTTATTTCCCTGCTTGGCCTGGTCCTCCTGCTTTTTTTACAGTGTTGAGCACTGACTAAATGATCACATATTTATCTTTGCTCATTTGGTTTCCACTTTTCCTGTTAGAATGCAAACACCTCTTCTAGAGCAATCCACGCCTGGCTTGAAATAGTCAAAAAAGAACTTGTGGAACTAGTGTGGACTGAAGATGGACTTTTGAAATGAGCTGGTTCTGCATCTTGGGTTGTCTGTGCTGTTGGGATGGGGCAGCCACAAAGGGCCATGAAACCCTGGCATTGGCTGTCAGGTGTAGGTGCCCAATACAAGGCAGGAAGTTCATTAATGGACTTTACTCCGTCCTTCCCCGTGCACTGTGGTTGTGACAGTGAGTAAACCAAAGATGTTAAATCAAGCTCCTTTATATATATGTATGTATATATATATATGTATATATATATATATATGTATGTATATATGTATATATCCTAAGCCAAAAAAAGTGGTTCTCATTTTGTGGGTTAGGGGATATCCCTCTTGAAGGTTTTAAGAGAGGTACATGCCTCATTCCCAAGCTGCTAATCCCACCTCCACATGACTTCTTCTGAGCTTTTCTAAAAAGCTCTGTCCTCCCTCTGATCTGCCTGCCTGACCTGGAAACTCATGGCCATCAGAAAAGTTCCCAAAGTTCTCCTTGAGAGACTAGTGAGCCACAGCTTCATGCATGCCTCCACAGACATGGGGATGGCTTTCCAATTTTGCTTTCCATGTCCCCTGTATTATACTCAATCAAATCTCTTCATTTTGAACTTTAGGGGCTTCCATATCCCAACACCACTTTTCCTAGCCCAGGAAAATGTACCTATTTCTCATTATTTGCAGGTTCTCCTAAAGTTCTTCCTAATTCTTGTATGCTTCCCTCAGCCTCGTGCATTCAATCTCTGGCTCATCACCACCTCTAGAGGACTGGTACTTGCCTTTTCCTATTCCAAATTTCTCCCCCATTCTCAAATCCTTACTCAAAAGTTCTTCCTGTCAGAGGGCTCTCCTGACTCACCCTCTGATTCACCTATCTGACTAATTCCAGCCATTCCTCCAGCACATTTGTCTGTTTGCACACAGCCATATCCGTGGGATCCATATACGTCCAGAGAGGAGCAGGTATCAGATTTGGGGTCTCCATGTGACCTTTATTCTTGGTGGGATTTTCTTCCAGGTAAGAAATTTATTTTTCTGGGTCTGGAATCCAATTTATCTACGTTCATTTAAATGATTTCCTTTGTCTTTTGTGGGCATCAGAGTAGAGTATAAATTGGGAGATTGTGAGTAATCATCACAATTTCAGGATTATTCCTCCTTATTGTTTTTGCCATCTGGCTCCTGCTTATCCTCTCAATAGCCACACGGCTGACAGGTTGGGACTCAGAAAAATGATCTTGAGTCAGAAACTTCTTTTGAAGGCAATCTTGCATGGCTTGCCAGGAAGGAGCAGGAAGTGGCAGAAGGGGGCAGGTGGGGAAAGAGCCTGTGGCCTCAGGGGTCTTGCAGCTTATTGAAGCAGGGGTATCAGCAAGCAGACACAAAGGAAAACATATAAAGGAAGTTGGAGGAAATGGCTTGGAATCCAGAATCTTGGCTCTTGGTTCTTTGTTTCACCCACCATTGACTATCCTGGCAGCTGTCTAGGAATATTTCAGAGTCACTTGGGTAGAGCCTGAGAATGAATCAAATGTCTCTTTTCAGAGACCCACCAGGCTGGCTGAGAGCTGTGTTGGTCATTATGTCCATTCCCTTGCCCCCAGGCCAGACCACATCAATTCAGCCTGCCCAGCCAGGGGTATCTCTTATTTCCAAACCTCACCGGAGACAGATTCTACCCAGCTCTCTGTCTGCTTTCTTGCCCTGGTGGTTTTGAGCCCTGCTAATGAATAGCTGGGATGGCTGCATTCCTCGGACAGCTTCATAGCCTTGCATATTTGTCAAGTGCTCCTGGGAAGGAAACTCAAGGGGATCTAGAGGCAAAGGCCTGTGTGGGGTGGTCCAGCCATATTCAGCTTTTTCCATTAGGTCTCTCAACTGCATTCTGTCCCTGCTCCAAGGTGGGGAAGTGGTTCCCATTTGCAAGAAGATGAATGCTGGTGTTTGACTTACTGCTGTATCAGGGCCCAGAAGCTCTGGCAAAGAAAACACTGGTTTAATTTGGAAAAAAAGACTTGGAATTCCACCTGCCTGCTCAGTCTTCAGCAGCTCTTCTTCTTCCACCCTACTTTTCTCCTCTCAACTCCTCCATATGGGATTTCAGCCTGCCAAGACAGGCATCACTGGCAGCCCTGCCTCTGCTTGGGGTCCAACCATTCTGTTGTATACCTGTATAGAAAGCTGACAGCTGGTAATGCTCTGTGCTGCAAACTGAGGCTCCAAAGGAAGAGGAAATGGGTTTGGGTGAAGGGTTCATATCAAATGAGAAGAGTATTGATTGAAGGCTGAGATTTATGTGCTTTTAAAAACAGATGCCTCTGACAAGTTTTCTATATCTCTCCACTATGGAAAATTCCATTCCTTCCAGATCACTTCAGCTTTTCCCATTCTAAAGATTGATGTTGTAGAACCTGGTGATCAATTATACAGCCACTGACAGCAAGTAAGCAGTACAGGCCACCACACCTCCTGCTTCTTGAGCTTGGGTAGCTTCTCTTCCTAAAAGCTGTCTTTATAGGTACTGAGAGAGGAACTGGGAGAAAACATAAACCAAGAGAGGAGATGGCTTTAGAAAAGTAATAAATAAAGACTATAAAGGTTGAATTGGTCTTATAATTCAGCAAGGAATCAGTAATTTCCATTAAAAAATTTTCAGGTTGTTTTAAAGTCAGAAACTGGACAAAAGAGAATGGAAGAGTGAATGGGAATAAAGTACAGACCATGCATTTAGACAACTCCTTCAAGAAAGGACCTGTGAAATAAAAAGAGCAGAAAGCCAGCAGCTAAACAGGGGAAGTGGGAAAGGAAGATAATTTATATATGCATTTTTCAAAAAGAAGTGACCTAGAAATGTACAGTCTTTAGATATTCATATTCTGAGTCTGCTCTATTTACCACTTCCACCTACACATTTATCCTTTTGGGCCTTGCCTTACATGAGAGGCTGGCTTTTATTGATTCTGTTAAGGGATCCTCTGCAGAGTGGTTTCCAGTTGAGTTTGGTCAATAGGAAGGACCAGCAGGAGGTCAGAAGGCAGGAGAAAAAGGAGTTGGGATGTACTCTGTTGTCTTCCTTTTTGCTAAGTGGAAGTTTGGCCACGGACCATGCTTTTTATGTTAAAGGCCATAATTACTGCCAGGCAGCTATCACCTGCAGCACAGCTACCACTCTTTTCTAGTTCATTCGTTGCTTTTCTTGCTGCTTCTTCGACTTTAGGGGTAGTAATGGCTTCTTGTGGTTTTGAGTCTTGGGAGCTTCACCAATCTCTTCTGATTTCCCTTTACTCTGCCCACATTATTGACCTTATAGGTGCCCATAATCACTTCATCAAACTCTCTTCAATCATCCCATTTGAGTATGTCATCTGTTTGTCTTCAGGGATATGAACAGAAAAGGCACAATTAGAGACCCTGGTTTCATCAGAAGGCTCCACATAAGGTGAAGAATAGGAAGCACACGTATTAGAAAAGGTATAACCATAGACCTTGAGCAGAAATAGCGTTGTCAGTTTTTATTTTGAGCCTTCCCTCTATATCAGATATATCCCAATATCAATACAAGACTAGACATCCAGATGTGTTTGAGTCTCAAGCCCCATGGGGCCATAGGTTGAGGGGAAGGGCCAGGCAGCTTCATATTCAATTTTGCTGGTGTAAAATTGAGTGTAGAAAACCCCATCTCTGCCTTTGTTGTCAAATCATGAAGAGGCTAGGGGAAAATACTCCAACCTGAGTCTATGAATTATATTAAACTATATGCCCAAGGAAAAGGTAAAACATAGCCCCTAAACAAAGGCCTAAAGCAAGATACCTGCTGGCTGGAGATCAAATCTCAGCTATTCTTAATATCACACCAAGACAGAAATCCTAGGTAGCCCCTATGTATCTTGATGCAGATTCACACAAGGAATCTATAAAGCAAAATTCTGAAACCTACAAAAGACAAGACAAGTACTTAATAAAATTCAAGTATGAGAACATAATCCTACTTCAGGAGAAAAAATAATAGAGCAACTTGAAGGTGCAAGTGATTTAAAAAATAGTCTGTTTAGGGCTGTCAAAGAGCTAAACAATAATAAAAAATTTAAAAATAAAACAAAGGAAGACAAACACATATAAGAGAATATTTAAAGAAAAGTCAATTACACTACTAAAAAATATAGACTTTGGGGGCCGGGGATTTAGCTCAGTGGCACTGCACCTGCCTCACAAATGCAAGGTCCTGAGTTCAATCCCTGGTACCAAAAAAAAAAAAGCCTTTGGAAAAACTACTCAATAAATGGTATATATGCCACAAAAAAAGCAAAAATAGAGGTTGAAGGGAGGGCAGGGGAATGGGGAAAAATAAGAATCAAGATATATTATGTAAAAAAAGATATATTATGTAAAGGTACAAATGTCCAATGATGAATGTCATTATATTGTGTACCTAAAATGTATCAATAAAATTAATTTTTTAAAAAAAGAAAAACATGTAAATGATGGGATGATAAATTTTATGTGTCAGTTTAGGCCATGAGTGCCCAGACATTTGGTTAAATATTATTCTGGGTGTTTTTATGTGGGTTTTTTAGATGAAATTAACATTTTAATTGGTAGAGTAGAGCCAATTGTGCTCTACAGTGTGAATGGGCCTTCTCAAATTAGGTGAAGCCTTGGATAGAACAAAAAAGCTGATCCTATCTCAAATAAGATGGAGATCTCTGGCAGACTGCCTTCAGATTTCACCTGCATCATTGGCAGATTTGGATGAGACTGTCTCATAATTGCATAAGACAACAACTTATAGTAAATTTTTTTCAGTATATGTGGATATTTTATTGCTTCTACTTATCTGGAGAATTCTATTACAATGGGAAAATAGAATTCAAGAATATAAAGAAAATACAAACAAGACGAACTATACATACAACATGTGTACATATATGCAATTAGGAGGCATAGAAAATGATTCAGGAAGCTCCAAAATGCATCCTATTTATGCATCCTATTTAGGTCCAGGGGAAAAATGCAGAGAATGGTGTAGGTTTCCAGAGCTGAAGTCACAAATCATTAGGTTGAAAGTTCACATAAAGTCCAAATTAGGAAAGTTCACATAGGACAAATTGAAAAAAGAAAACCCACATCTATTTATGGTATAGTAAGCCACATGATATAAATAATAAAAATAAGCATCAGAAGGAAAATATAGCTTCTCATAAGAAAATAACAATTATATTGACAAAAGAATTATCTCCCTCCATATTAGACCCCCCGAATGCAAATGTGCTAATAACTTCAAACACTGAGGAAAAACTAGTCAATCTAACATTTAATACCGAGCTAAGTTATTGCTCAATTGTGAGGGCAAAAATTCAGTCACATAAAGTTACTAAATACTAAAGAAACTTACTACTCCTGGGTCCTTATATTTAGTTACAAAGGGAAGTTGGAAAGAAAAATTGGAAGCAAAACAGGAATAGTGGTAAAGTATTCCAATAAAGTACACTATTAACTATGAAAATAATATCTGTGTTAGAAAGAATGGGCCTAAAATCTTAATAAACAGCATCAGAGAATGTTGGTGGTAGAGAACATATTGATGGAGAACGTTGGTGTAGCTCAGAACATAGTTAAAACTCATTCTGATATCCTTGTTCTGTTTAAAGGAATACGAGAGACAACGAACAGATTTAGAACTTAGCAAATTTTTCATGTGTATACATATACTTAAAAATTTGAGGAACCATTAAAATAGAAAAAATACAAGTTAGTTTCTGAAACAAAAGCAAAATGGGAAAAAAAGTGGTGGTGGTAGGGAGAATAACCGAGCCTCTATTAATCCAATGAAAGGTAAGGAGAGAAGAAAAACACGAGGGTTTGAAAAGGAAGTATTAAAAGCAAAAACATAAAGTAAGTGAAAATAAACATTATTTTTCACAAAAAAGTAGAAGAATCTTACATAGAATATGATCCCATTTATCTTCAAAGTTACCAAACATACAAAACAATCATATTTTTTTTTGTATAAAAGTGTAC